ATACTGGTTTAGAGGTTTATAAAACACTTCTTGGTTTTCCCATCTCTCCTAATGGGTTGAGAATTTAGAGGTAAGCTGGTCAATCTTTTTGTTTTGCAGATTTGAAAGTTGAGAATTGGAGGAGAAATGTAGTATTAGATCCTTAGGATTTCCCTTTTCTAGTCCAGAGTACTTTAAGTGTGCTCTTTCATGTTCCACTTACCTGTTGGAGGGTGGCTTTGCTATTTTGTCTTCCATTTTCAAATTGTATAAACGAGAAACATTCTTGGATTAAATTTCCCTCATATTTTAATTAAACCTAATTACTCTGGGAAGGTTGTTGTCATTTTTTGTGGTAATTTTACCATGGTCCTTTTACCCTGTCGGTAAAACCTGTGTAATCATGGATTTGTAGATTCAGTACTATTTTAGTCTTCATGCAGAGGGTTTGTTCATGGATTCACATGTGAAATTAAAACTTGTTCTCAGTGTTTCTTCTGTTGTCTTTTTAAAAAATCTTTGGTGTCTGAATATACTTTGTCTTAATGGAAGAAGAAGAAGAAGAAGAAGAAGAAGAAGAAGAAGAAGAAGAAGAAGAAGAAGAAGAAGAAGAAGAAGAAGAAGAAGAAGAAGAAGAAGAAGAAGAAGAAAACATAGTAAAAGACTAACCCGAAGACAGTAGAAACAAGGCCAGGATGAATGATTGGAAGCCTGCCTCAAGGGCTCAGGGAGAGGATAGTTGGGACAGAGACGTGACCATTATGACAATAATGGTTGGAAGGGATTGATCCAGATTGGAGATGTGTACTGAAAGTGGGCAAATGACCAAACATGATGGCCTTTCAGTATCTGTATTGCAAACAATAATGCCCAAAAGGAGAGAGAGAGAGAGAGAGAGAGAGAGAGAGAGAGAAAGAGAGAGAGAGAGAGAGAGAGAAAGAGAGAGAGAAGAAAAGGGCCTGCCTCTGGGGGAAAGAGAGTGGCAGGATATGGGGGATATTGGTGGTGGGAAATGTACGCTGGTGGAGAGATGGGTGTTGGAACATTATATGACTGAAATTCAATCATGAAAGCTTTGTAACTGTATATCACAGTGACATGGTGATTCAATGAAAAGTAATAATAATAATAATAATAATAAAACAAATAAACATCCTTTTAAGAGCTGTCAAGGTAACATAATGGCCTGAGGCATGTGTTACATGTGAGAAACCTGGGTTCAATCCCTGGTACCACATAGTCCACCAAGTAAGCCAGGGAGCATCTTCTAAGCACTGAATCATAGTAGTCCCTGAGAACCACTGGGTAGAGACCCCCAAACAAACAAAAATATAAAAATAAAGTTAAAAGGCACAATTATCTAGAATGAATAAGAACAAACCACATGATCCATTGATAGTTTTGTTTTAGTTTTAGTTTTTGTTTTTTGGGTCACACCTGGCGATACAGAGAGGTTCCTTCTGGCCCATGCACTCAGGAATTGAGCACCACCACTCAGGTGGTGCTCAGGGGTCCACATGAAATGCTGGAAATTGAACCCGGGTCCACTGCATGCAAGGCAAACGTGCTACCCACTGTACTATCGCTCCAGCCCCCATTGATAGAGTTTTAACAAAATCCTGTAGCACTGTAGTACTGACCTCCCATTGTTCATCGATTTTCTCGAGCGGGCACCAGTAACGTCTCCATTGTGAGACTTCTTGTTACTGTGTTTGGCATACAAACTCATCACAGGTAGCTTGCCAGGCTCTGCCGCGCGGGCGGAATACTCTCAGTAGCTTGCTGGGCTTTCCAAGAGGGGCGGAGGAATCAAACCCAGGTAGACCACATGCAAGGCAAACACCCTACCCGCTGTGCTATAGCTTCAGCCCCCATTAATAGAGTTTTAACAAAATCCTAATTCAAATAAAACAGACAAACAGAACATCTTTGAGTTTTACTGGAGAAATTGGTAATCAATTTAAAGTTCATATGGAAATATGGTGTCATTCAAAATGGCTTTAAGAAAAAAACTCAATGTTCAAAAAGTAATATTCGATTATATCTTGTTGGCTTCTTGGTCAACAAGGGGACACAGTCTCCATTGAAAAGCCACAAAGGAGATCCAAGTCAAGAAGTGTGTGTGGCAGTGGAGTGAGTCGCCAACAATCTCTGAGGCACACCTTTGACCCTGGGGAAGAACATTTTAAAGCTTCACCTTTGAACCACCGTCTAACAGTATCACTGGGGTTGAGAAAAAAAGAAATTTGATTTTTTACTATTGGAACTTGGATGAGTGTCCGTGTGTGAGTGTCTGTGTGTATGTGTGTGAGTGTCTGTGTGTGTACAGACGTGTGTGTATGTGTATGTGTGTGGGGGGAGTGGGGAGGGAGGGAGAGAAAGAGAGTTTGAAGGCATATGCAGGTATTTAGTTTGCATTATTTTTAGTTCTCGTAATTTTCTTCCTCATGAGGCTGAGACTGCTTTATATTCAATAAAGTGTTTGACCTCTTCACTCGCAAATCTAAACAGCATGTAATTAGTATAGTGATAACCAAGTAGAACAATAAAAGAAGTAGCAAGTTCAGATACTTTGACAGAAGTGCCAAGACAATTCAATGAAGAATGAATAAACATTTCACCAAATGAAAATAAGCGAATGGTGCAGAGTAAACAGAGCATAACCATACTTACAAGGCAGTCCTTACTTGCTAACTACAAATGTAGCTGGTAAAGAGTTGTTTTCAATTTCCCTATGTGATCCCCAGACTATGACTATGGTTGTTTTACCTCTGATTTAAAGGTGTGTAATTATTTTATCACTGCAATTAGTCTTAGTTCTGATTCCCATAAATCTTTCCGATATTTCCTTACAATGTAGGGGTGTCTGTAAGAACCCCCAACAAAGATCGTCACTATCCATCAATCACAGCTTGGAAACAAACGTTAAAGCAAAACCTCTGAGAATGGTGAAAATTATGAAGGCTAATTGTAGGATAAGGTAAAGGTAAAGGCCCTCCCGTTGATCGTCGATTTGCTCAAGCGGGCCCAGTAACGTCTCCATTGGAGACTTTGTTGTTACTGTGTCTGGCATATCGAATACTCTCGGTAGCTTGCCAGGCTCTCCGAGAGGGGCGGAGGAATCGAACTCCGGTCGGCCATGTTGGCCGCGTGTAAGGCGAACGCCCTACCCGCTGTGCTATCGCTCCAGCCGACATTGCTTCGTCTTTCCTCCCTTTCTCCACAAGGAACTTAGGTTTATCAGGTTACACTCATAACAGGGCTCCCGAATCACTCCCATTCCTTCGTTTATCTGTAACCACTTCTCTTTGCTCTCTTCCCCAACCAGTTAATCAGCTTTTTCCCCTAATCAGAATCTGTTAGTTTGTAATGTCAGATCCTTCTAGGACACTGAAATTGTATTGTAAGTTAATATTGCCTTTCTCCTCTCCTTGGGCTGGAGCGATAGCACAGCGGGTAGGGCGTTCGCCTTACAAGCGGCCAACATGGCCGACCCGAGTTCGATTCCTCTGCCCCTCTTGGAGAGCCCGGCAAGCTACCGAGAGTATTCGATATGCCAGACACAGTAACAACAAAGTCTCCAATGGAGACGTTACTGGGCCCGCTTGAGCAAATCGACGATCAACGGGAGGGCCTTTACCTTACCTTTACCTTCTCCTCTCCTTATGTCTTTTGAATGGTTTAACTTTAAAGCAATGTCCTTTTTGTATAGATACAGGAAGACCATTAATATTATGCTTTGTAACTTAGGATTTAATTGGCTTTGAATATTATTCACTCCCAGGCATCTGCTTTCTCGACTTAAGCCTCAGTTGCCCTTTGTTCCTAGCACCCCAAAAGCAGGGTCCCGACAAGGGACTGAATGGACCCAGGGAAAGCGGTGAGCTACCCTGGCATCGAAATGGGCCAGGCCAAAGTGCCACAATTCTTAACTATAAGTTAAGAGCTTGATAATAGACAAATGCTACCATGATCCAACAGTAATGATGAGACGAGGACCCTGCTAGGGATAGGAAAGACTATCCGGCCTTAGCACTGTAGTCTGAGATTGAGATGGCCCTAGAAGAGCAATTCTATAAGCTTAAGGCATTTCTTACTGTATCCACACAAAATGATTTATATTTTTAATACTTATATGTTTGTTGTACAAGGAGAGGAGAAACACACCCATGGGATTCCGCTCTAGAGTGGGTCGTCCTGCTGAAAGAGTATCTGTCCTAGAAGCGGCTTTCCCTGAGGGAAAGAATTCTACCCCTATTGATTGTGACCACACCTATGTGTAATTGTTACCCCAATTCCTCATGCTTTGGGATTTAACTGTACTGTAAGAGTGGGCTGGGGGATCAGAATCCAGACTCCAGAGAAGGAGGATGAAGGGGGATGAGAAAGAGAATGAAGTAGCATGGGGAAGGGAGAGGCAGAGGAGAAAGACAGGAGTGGATGGAGAGAGGATTGGAATAAGCTGCAACTAAGACCAACAAGCCTGGCCCTCGTTTCTTTCCTTCACCTGCCCATCACCATCGACCTCCCCTGGGTGGGGGAAGCGACATGAGACTACCAAACGCTGGTGGAGGAACAGATAGACTGCTGCCGCTGCTGTGCTCTTTTTGAGTTTACACAGCTAACCATGCCTTAAATTAAGATATAACTGGCTTAATGGTTTCTTAACAAATTAAGGATAGGGACTGAAGAGATAGCACAGAAAGTAAGGCATTTACCTTGTATGCGGCCAACCCAGGTTTGATCCCCAGCATCCCATATAATCTCCTGAGCACTGCCAGGAATAATTCCTGAGTACAGAGCCAGAGGTAACCCCTGAGCATCTCTGGGTGCGATCCCCCCCCCAAAAAAAGTCAAAATAAATGGAAACAAAAACAAAAAAGGATAATGCTAACAACAACCTGTGGGAACAGCAAATACAAATTGAAAAGATTTTAAAATGTTTTGAAATTATTAAAGGATTTTGATAAGTCACTATGAAAAGAGAGTGTTTAATAGAAATAATTAATTCCAGTACTCACAGCTCCTTTGCAGTAGAGCCGAATAGTTCCTAAAGGAGTTCGGACAATTACAGACATTCTTTTTCTATTGCTAAAATAATATTAAAGCATTGTTAGTTTCTATTGTCTTCAGTGGTGTCTCAGCATGTGGCACACAAACACACACAAAATCAAACACACAAAAAAATTCTAATAGAATCTTCAGTCAATCATTAGTGAAAAGACTAAAATGTTTTTTGCCAGTCTTTCTTCTCTTTACCTAGCTCCATAAATTTGAGATTCTAATTATAAATCTCCATTTTCTCTTACTACAACTTCCCAGTTTCATCATTTACTTTCCTGTGAATTACTGGTACAAATGTATACTTTAATTTTATATATTACTTTGTTTTATGTGTAATATATTGTATCATTAGTGTTATATTTTATTTAAATATGATACACTGTCTAATAATTTATATAACATAAGGTAATATGCACTGTGTATTATGTATATATGCACAGTATGAACATATAACATATGTATAACAAAATCCTTACATATCATATGTATGTTAAAATATACAGTGTATAATTACTGCATATATAGTAATTTTACTTTGATTGTAGCTACCCGTGACATATTCGATATGCCAAACACAGTAACAAGTGTCACAACGGAGACGTTACTGAGCCTGCTCAAGCAAATTGATGAACAACAGGAGGACAAGTGACAGTGAGAGTGACTATGATTGTGTCATATATGTGACATAGTCATTTTAAATGATTAACACATTTAAAAACACAATCATTTAAAAATTGAGAAAGGGGAAAACAGCCCTGCAGCTATGTAATATTCAGTTATCTCAATCTTGATGTAGATCTTCCTGTTGCTGTTTTGCTGTTACAGACAGAAATGTCAAGCTGCTGACTCAATACATGCAGTACATGATGGCATTTGCTTAATGTACAGTTATGCTTCAAAGTACTCTAGAATTACATGTTGTTGTTATTTACAGTTAAAGGGTTTTTACAGTTACACTCATTGCTTCTATTCCTTACTTAGCTGCCAAAAAATCTCTCCTCTGCACTTTATCCTACACACTGAAAGTAAACTGCCTCAGATAGAACTTCTTCCTCATATCATTTCCCCACACAAAGCAGATTACACGACTCTGCTTAAAACTTTTAAGAGGAGGCTGAAGAGATAGGACACTAGGTTTGACAGCCCCCCTTCCCCACCCAGTACCACCCCATATCATTCTCCGAGCTCCACCTGCAGTGACCCCTGAGCACAGAGCCAGGAGTAACCCCTGAGAACTGCTGGGAGTAGCCCCAAACAAAAACAAAACAAAACAAATCTTAATAAACGTGCTCCATATACAGAAAAAAAATCTGAATCCCTTAGCACAGATCACAAAGACCCTGCAAACTGTACTTTAGCTTGTTAAGAGAGGCTTCAACAAGCCTCTCTCATGCATTCTGTCCATCCACTACCACTACCACTCCACTACCACTGCACTTAAGTCCCTGCTGTTTCCTGACTCAAAAAGCCAATGTCTCTCAAGGTCTGATTCCAGCTGTTACTTCTGCCTGATGTGCTTCTCCTCTTCATATCTTCTCACAGATTCCTCCTTCTATCTTGATGCCATTTTCCTTTTTTTTTTTTGAAGTTGTTTGTGATGATTTATTACATTCACTATTCCAACACCCATCCCACCACAACTTCACCTTCCCACCATGGTTATTTTCATTTTTCTCAACCACCACTCATCTGGGAAATTCTTGATGTTACATACTTTGATATCACTCTAAAATTTTCTTTTAAAAAATTTTAATAAATCACCTTGAGATACCGTTACAAACTTTCGTGATTACGTTTCAGTCATACAATGATCAAGTATCCATCCCTCCACCAGTGCCCATCCTCCACCCCAGTGTTACCAGTATCCCTCCTGCCACTCTCCTACCCACCCCCTCACCCCAGCTTCTGAGACAGGCACATTCCCTTTTACTCTCTCTTCTTTTGGGTGTTGTAGGTACTAAGTGGCCATCATATTTGGCCCATAGTCTACTTTCAGCACACATCTCCCATCCTGGGAATCATTTACTCGGTGGTACCTTCTGTATCCCAGCTGCCTTTTCCCCCAGCATGTGAGACCAGCTTCCAAGCCATGGAGCAAACCTCCTGGCCCTTATCTCTACTATTCTTGGCTGTTAGTCTCCCATTACGTTACTTTATATTCCACAAATGAGTGCAGTTATTCTATGTCTGTTCCTCTCTCTTTGACTCATTTCACTTAGCATGATACTCTCTGTGTCAATCCACTTATATGCAAATTTCATGACTTCATATTTTCTAACAGCTGCATAGTATTCCATTGTGTAGATGTACCAGAGTTTTTTAACCAGTCATTTATTCTTAGACACTTGGGATTTTTCCACATTCTGGCTATTGTAAATAGTGCTGCAATAAACATACAAGTGCAGATGTCATTCCTACTGTACTTTTTTGCATCTCCGGGATATATTCCCAGAAGTGGTATTGCTGGGTCAAATGGGATCTCAATTTCTAAGTTTTTTAGAATTGTCCATAATGTTTTTCATAAAGGCTGAACCAGTCAGCATTCCCACCAATAGTGAAGGAGAGTCCCCTTCTCTTCACATCCACGCCAACACCAGTAGCTTTTGTTCTTTTGGATGTGTGCCAGTCTCTGAGCTGTGAGATGATATCTCATTGTTGTTTTGATCTGCATCTCCCTGATGATTAGTGATGAAGAACATTTTTTCATATGCCTTTTGGCCATTCGAATTTCTTCTTTGAGAAAGTTTCTGTTCATTTCATTGCCCCATTTTCTTTTGGCGTTGGGTGTTTTCTTCTTGTAGAGTTCAACCAGTACCTTGTATATCCTTGATATCAACCCTTATCAGATGGGTATTCGGTGAATATCCTTTTTCACTCTGTGTATTGTCCTTGTATTCTGGTCACTGTATCTTTTAAGGTGCAGAAGCATCTTAGTTTAAGATGGTCGCATTTGTTTGTCTCTGCTTCCACCTGCTTGGTCAGTGGGGAAAAAATACCTTTATCTTCAATGTCGTGGAGGGTTTTGCTGACCTTATCTTCAATGTACCTTATGGATCTGGTCTGATGTTGAGGTACTTAATCTATTTTTATCTTACTTTTGTGAATAGTATTAGATAGAGATCTGAGCCCATTTTTTTGCATGTAGCTGCCTAGTTTTGCCACCACCTTTTGTTAAAGAGGCTTTCCTTGCTCCACTTCACATTTCTTGCTCCCTTATCAAAGATTAGATGATTTTGAACAGAAATTTGAAGGCGTGTGTAAGGATATTCAAGATTGTTCCATTGGTCTGAGGCTCTGCCTTTGTTCCAATACCATGCTGTTTTAATTATTACTGCTTTGTAGTAGAGTTTGAGGTTGGGGAAGATGATGCCTCCCATCTTCTTTTTCCCAAGAATTGCTTTAGCTATTCGTAGGCGTTTTCTGTTCCATATGAATTTCAGAGTGTCTGATCAGTTTTGAAGAATGTCATGGGTATCCTTATAGGAGTCCCATTGAATCTGTATAATGCTTTGGGGAGTATTGCAGTTTTGACAATTAATTCTCCCAATCCATGAGCAGGGGATGTGTTTCCATTTCCTTGTGTCCTCTTTTATTTCTTGAAGTAGCGTTTTGTAATTTTCTTCTTACAGGTCCTTTACCTCCTTAGGTAAGCTGATTCCGAGGTATTTGATTTTTGGGGGCATGATTGTGAATTGAATTGTTTTTTTCATATCGCTTTCTTCTCTCCCATTATTTGCATATAGGAAATCCAGGGACTTTTGGGTATTGATTTTATAGCCTTGAACTTTACTATATAAGTCTATTGTTTCTAGGAGCTTATTGGTAGAAGCTTTAGGGTTCTCTAAATATTGTATCAAATCATCTGCAAATAGTGAAAGCTTGATTTCTTTCTTTCCTATCTGGATGCCCTTAATATCTTTCTCTTGCCTAATCGCTATTGCAAGTTCTTCCAGACTATATTGAATAGGAGTGGTGAGACTGAGCACCTTTGTCTTTCCCTGATTTTAGAGGGAAGGAAAGCTTTTAGTTTTTCCCTCTTGAGCATAATGCTTGCCAGAGGCTTGAAGCCACTTTCCTTTGACAAGAGCCTCTAGGCCTCTTAAGGGCAGACTCCAACAACAGAAGCACACAATCTGTTTCTCCACTCTAACAGAGTTTAAAGTTCACAGACAGTATTCTTCATGGCCTGGTCCGGTCCGGTCCTGGTCCGATCCTCCCGTTGTTCATCGATTTGCTCGAGCGGGCCCAGTAACGTCTCCATTGGAGACTTTGTTGTTACTGTGTTTGGCATATTGAATACATCACGGGTAGCTTGCCAGGCTCTGCCATGCGAGCGAGATACTCTTGGTATCTTGCCAGGCTCTCGCATTCCTTTTAAATTTGTTTTTAAGTTTCAATGTTTATTTCTCCAAGACAGCCTAGCCTGCACTCTACTTGGATAAATTTACAGCCTAGTTTTCTGCTGCTTCTAGTTTTAAACTTTAACCATGTTTTTGATGACAAGGAATGCTGAAAAAATACTCTAGTTCAACAAAGAGTTATGATCACAAAATAATCTATCCATTCTACAGTATTTCAGAATTACCAGTTGATTTTTAAACACAAAGTAGATCTAGATGCTAATGGTGGCTAACCTGGGATGTTTCTGATAGCAAACTGCTGTCCATGCAACGTTTGTGCTCCAAGGGGAAGGCACAGGGTCTCCTACAGTGAGACACCTTATAAAGAGTTCTTTTGTACAAATCCATTTATGTCACATTTAATTTAGTGCGCATGACCTCAAAACTAAGGTATTATTCCAATTTATAAAAACCATTTGCATAAATTTTATGCAAGTTTTAAAAATACAAAGTTTTCTCCCTAAAGTGGCTCAAAATAGATTGTTCATGGCTGCCTATATCTAAGGTAAAACGAGTCTAAAACAATTGAACAGATTAGGCATATTATTGAAGGTGTTCAAACCATTACTTGATTTGTACATCTACTCAACCCTCTTCATCGGTCTTTTATTCAGCAGTACATATGCACCAAATTCCATTTTAGAAGTTTCCATATCATTTTTATAGAAAACAAAATTTGAAAACAAGTAATATTTAAACACAGCATGGTATTCTACCACAACTGAAACTTTTTTCTTCTTCTTCTTTACAGGACTCAACAGAATCTAAAAATGAACTATGCTGTAGTTTTACCTCATGCAATGTGCTGTATGTTATCTGTGAAAATGAAAAGGATGCTTTGTAAAGCACGTTTTACTGTTTTATACTGTTACAGCAACTTGTGTACTGCAACACAGTTTATTTTGAGGGAAATTTATGATTTTTTTCATGCAAAAATCTACACAAATTAGTTCTAATGATATGGAAAGCATTTTATAGCATCAAACATTCATCTGGTGCAAACGCACAGGGAACCCTTCCTGAAAAGTTTTCTGACTTGGGAAGCAACTAAAAAGCCATACTAGGTAAAGTAAATAAAAACTAAAATAAAAAAAAAAGAAAGAAAGAAACCAAAAACCACAAAGGAACTTGGAGGGCGGGAAGGGTGGCGAAGAGGAAAGCCCAGGCTGCAGAGAAACTGATGTCTGCTGCTGAAGCGGCCTTGGTTCTCGTGTCCAGTGTCCAGAACACTCGCCATCTCACTCAGATGATCTACCAGGTCTGTTGCCAGCCCCTGAAGGACAATCAAGCTCGCACGCGCTCACATACAGCACCACACCCACATGTGCCGCCGCTCACTCTAGGGCCAGAGTCGGCCTCTCCGGGTAGTGCCCTGTCAGGTAAGCCGGCTCAGTGGCACTGCCGGACATTCACTCAGCGTTGTCACTCACACACTGCTTCCCAGCAAGGCACGGCCTCACCCTGCTCGCAGTGGTGGGCCTGTTCTCTCATGCTTCCAAGGCTTGAAGATGACAGCACTGCACAGTGCTCAGGCATGAGAGAGCCATGACCTGTAGCCCTTTTTGGACTTGGAACAGCCTAAATAAGCATTCATGTAAAGGTTTTATTACATTCTGCCACTCACTCTCACTCACACCCACTTGCCATCTTGACCTTATTTGGGCATTTTCTGTGATTCCAAATGAAATATTCACATTTTCTTTCCCAATTTAAGGCAGCAGCAGACCCCATGAGCCATGCAGGATGGATCAAACCTTTATGTTCATGTATATATGTGTATCTCAGTGCTGCATTGGACCTGACTCCACAATATCACTCTAAAACTGGAACCCTTCCTTTGGTATGTTGGCAGATGAATTGAAACTGAATGTTCCACCTTGTATTGCCTCTGGAACAAGGCTAGGATCTTCATCGACATCATCTGAAGAGAAGAACTGATCGATGATCTCATAGGCCAATTTGTAGATGTCTTCATTTTCATGATTTTCAAGTTGTTCGATTTTCTCCAGCCCTCCACACTCTTCTATAAGATTGGCTATGGTTTCCGCCTCATCTTCAGCCATTTTAAATATATAACTTAGATCATCAAGTACTACTTGGACAACTTATGCATCTTTTACAGTAAGCAAATTGCAAAAAGGTGGGATAATACTCTGTTGGATTAGGTAAACCACTTGATCTTTCCTTCCACTAATCGTTAAGTAACTAATGGCCCAAGCAGCTTCTTTCTGAGTACCAAAATCCCCCTCATCCAGAAGGTGTATGATCATGGGCACAAGATTGGTGTCAATCACGGCCTGGACGTGCTGCTGATTCCCGGAGGTGATGTTGGAGAGGAACCATACGGCCTCTTTGTTGATCTTCTCCTTGGGGTGCGTCAGGAGCGCCGGGAAGTGTGTGAGTGCGTCAAAGTTCAGCAAAACTTGTGTTTGCTCATCGGTCCCCGTCACAATGTTGCCCACAGCTCGGAGAGCGGCCGTCTGGACCTTAACTTCCTGGTGGCTGAGTTGCGGAACCAAGTGCGGGACAATCCCCGAGGTGATGACCATCTGGATCTGCTCATTTCCGGCATCTGTGAAGTAGGACAGTACCCAGACTGTATCTACCAGGATATTTACATCTGTGTGATGCATTAAAACACAAAGAGCTGGAAGAATCTCCTGAATCGGTTCCATAGGGGGTGGTAGGTCTTTGTGGCGACATAAGTTGACCATAACCCAAGTGACATTTCATAAGAAAGTTATAGGAATAGATGGACTTATGAAAGAAAGTAAAGGTTTCACGATGCCAAGACTTATGACATAATCTCTACACTGTGGCCCATCACCTATGATGTTTCCCAAGGCCCACACTGCTTGCTCACAGACGTTTTGATGGGGTGAATGGAGAAGCCTCGGGAAAAGTGGCACAGCATTGGACTGGACGACTGCTTGCGGTTTGCTCAGAGGTCCCGGACCCGAAGTTCGTCAGGGCCCAGGCAGCTTCGAACTGTAAAGAAGGATTTCATCTCTTTCAAGACAATGGACTAAAATAGGCAATATTCCAGATTTTATTAAGTCATCAATTGGTGGATTTCCATCACTGGATAAGAGTTTCCTAGCAGCTTGAACTGCACTTAACTGAATTCCTTGGTTGTCACTTGAAGCATTTTGAACAATAGCTACCAGAGAGGTGTTTTGCCCTCTATAATCCCCATCTATATCGCAGTATTCATAGATCTCATCATGTGGCACATCCCGTCTCTTTAAGAGATGCTCGTCTCTTTTATTCTTCCTTAATTCAACTACAACTTCATTTCCTTGTCCTCTCATAGTCTCCAGGTCCCGGCCTTTGTTCTTGAAATTCTTGAGCCATTGGTTGTCCGGCTTCTCGCTGTCCGTCAAGGCCGGGGCCTCCGGGCCTGGGATCCGCCCCGACCGCCAGGCTGACAGGCCGGGAACCGGGCCGCAACCCGCGCTCTCCGGCGCCCCCGCCGCCCCCGCTTGCCCGCGCCCCCCCCCACCCCCCCGCCTGCCCACTGTGCCCTCCCCGCGCCCTGCCCCGGCGCGATGGCGGCGGAATGTGCCTCTTTTTAAATTTTTATTGTGGTATAGATAATGCTGTTGTCATAATACTAGCATTCATGGTCTAGATGTATACAAAGTTACACCTCACCACCACCCAAGTGCCCAGGATCCTCCACCTCTGTCTTTGTTTTGGTTGGGCTTGGTTTGGTTTTTACATTGTAGTGCTACTCTACTATATCTAACACAGGGGTACCCGGTCCCTTCACCTTTAGTACAAGTTTCCTTTCCCTCCACCTTCACTAATATGGGCACAATTCCATTGACCATATCTCAGATGTTTCCACTGGACGTTGTCTTTACTTCACTTCTTTGTACTCTGCATATGAGTGAGACCATCTGAAGTTTGCCTTGTTCTTTCTGACTCATCTTACTTAGCATAACTTACTCCAGTTTCAAACAAGTTGTAGCAAACTGAAAAATCTCATCTTTTCTCAGAAGCATTGTCACTTCAGAGCAGGCAGTGACTTGTAGAAGATGCTGAAAATTGCTTATTACTGTGTAGGCTTAATTTTGTCAAGACAAAAAAGGAATATTTTACATCCTCTAGCTTCCCTTTCATATACGTAAGCATGGGATATGAATACATCAGGGACTTGGCAATTCAATAGACCTCAATTTGAATGCTGATGCTTTCATTTATTTGCTGAGTAATGCTGGAAAAGTATTAGGTGCCCCTGACTGAGTGTCACCCAGAGTCTCCCAGACACTCCCCCTGACATCTGGGGATAAATGATCTATTAAGTCATTTATTTTTCTTATTTTTCAGATATCACATTAGCCGTGCTCAGATGATCTAATGACTTCCTCAGTCTCAGGGGAAACCTAGAGTAAAATTATCACCCTTATCATAACAGTTTGTTGTGGGGACTTGGGCACACATGCTGTAGCAGCAAGTCTGCTAAAGTATAAATGTAAAGAAGGATTTTGATATACATTGTTTCCTTGGAGTAAAATAATAAACAGATTCATTGCCTATTTTCAAAAATCACAAGACTGGCCAGAAAGTGGAGCCATGTATGCCATATCCATCTCAACTACAAAGGCAATATGACCTATGGAGATCTGAATAATTATGAATTAAACTGAGATCCAAAAGTAGATAGAAGTTAAACAAATGTCTTGATTCTGTATTAAAGTTTTAGTTTATGTTGCAAAATCTTTTTTTTAATTTTTATCAGTGAAACACCATGAGGTACAGTTGTAGACTTACAAATTTTTGTGCTTGGATTTCAATTATACAATGGGTCCCAGTATCCCTCCCACCCCCCATCCCCCTCATCCCACTCTGCCTCTGTGGCAGGGCATTCCTTTTTGTTCTCTCTCTCTTATTGGGTGTTGTGGTTTGCAAAAGAGGCAATGGGTGGCAATCATGTTTGGTCTATAGTCTACTTTCAGCATGATTCTCCCATCCTGGGAGGATCCTCCCAACACCCTTTATTTGGTGCTCCCTTCTCTATCTGAGCTGCCTTTTCCCCTAGCATGTGTGGCTGGCTTCAAGCCATGGAGCAAACCTCCTGGTACTAATCTCGGCCACTCTTGGGTGTTAGTCTCCTATTTTGTTACTTTATGTTCCCCAGATGAATGCAATCTTTCTATGTCTATCCCTCTCTTTCTGACTCATTTCGCTTAACATGATACTTTTAGAAAAAGATGAAGTCATGAAATTTACACACAAGTGGTACTATTTGTTGCGAAATCTTAATTGGATAGTCAGACATTGCCCTAGAAGCACATCAAGTGAATGAAAAGGCAACTTACCTGGAAAATTCCAGAACATTGAGAATTTCAAATGTAAAATTTTCTCTCATCTGCAAAGAAATAAGACAGCATAGCCTTACCTAAAGAAAAAAAGCATCTGTCTTACAAAACCCCTCATTCTGCCAATTACAAGCAAGTTTCATCTACCCAAAATAAAATAAAATAAAATATTTGCTAAAATTTATGGGTACACCAGCTAGAAACTCTGAGGCATCCTTGAGGGTGTGTGTGTGGGGGGGGGGGAGGGAACGGGCTGAGTCGCTGCCCTGCTGAAGCCCTAGCAGCCACACCGCCACCTGCAGCCACCACTATGCCAATGACCCAATTCCACTGCTTCATAACTAATCTCTGCAGAGATGTCAAAAAGACAAAAATTTCAGGTACACCAGTTTTCAGACTGAAAACTCTGGGGTCGTCTCTGAGTAAGATCATCAGCATCCCTCAACACCCTTATTTCTGGAATTCCCAGAAACTACACCCACATCCTACAGCTACCAGAATATAAACTTGTCTGCCCAGTTCTACTACGATCCTGGAGTTCCTAGAGCACATGCTAGGCATGGAGTGATGCAACACCTCCAAATTCCACAATATTGACATCCCAGTAGGGGCACAGCAAATTAAATGGGAAAGTAGCATAGAAGTCAAGTAATTCAATAAATAAAAACAATAACACAGATGGCACAACAACAAAAAACAGCTTAGTGCATCCTCAATGCCTTAATGACCCCATTGTGAGATACAACAATTTTCACAAATTTTTGTTTACTAAAGAAATTTTAATAATTCCATTAGTCACTTAATTGTAACAAGCAATGTAAAATAAATTAACTTGTGCCTGCTAAGGGGAAGTTCTTGAGGGGTGGGTGAGAAACTGGGGACAATAGTGGAGGGAAGGTCAGACTGACGGTGGGATTGTTGTTGCAACACTGAATGCATGAAATAATTATATTATGAACAACTCTGTAAACCAACATGTTTAAATGAGGTAACATAAAGTAGAAAAATAAATATAAATAAAATTATTTAAAGTTTATAAGAAGAAGGTTGGAGAGATTATACAGTGGATAAGGTGCTTTACTTGCACATGGTCAACCCAGATTTAATCTTTGGCATCCCATATGGTCCCTCAAACACAGCAGGAGTGATTTCTGAATGCAGAGCCAGGAGTAACCCTGGGCATTCCTGGGTGTGACCCAAAACAGCAGAAGAAAGAAGAAGGAGGAGGAGGAGGAGGACGAGGAGGAGGAGGAGAAGGTGGAGGAAGAGAAAGAAAGAGAAAGAAAGAAAGAAAGAAAGAAAGAAAGAAAGAAAGAAAGAAAGAAAGAAGGGAAGGAGGGAGGGAGGGAGGGAGGGAGGGAGGGAAGGAGGGAAAGAAAGAAAGAAAGAAAGAAAGAAAGAAAGAAAGAAAGAAAGAAAGAAAGAAAGAAAGAAAGAGAGGAAGGAAGGATTAAATGTTCTGATTAAATGATAGTAACCTTCTTTGGTGAGAACATTATTTGAAACCTGGGCAATATGGGCACAAATGTTTCAGATAGCACTGATTAGATACTGAAATGCCTTCCTTTGTAGTCTAAAATCAGCACTATTAGGGATTTTATAAACAAAATATCAGATTGCAGGCATACATCGAATAAATAGACAACTAGAATACAAAACTAGAGAAACGAGTAGGTCTTTGCATAAAACCAGTCAGATAAAACCAAATCCTAGTTTTTAAATTATTTAAGAAAGTAGACATGCTATGCTCATGGCTGCTCTCCACACCCTTTGGTTGAGCCTCAGGAGTGAATCTGCAGAAAATCCAGGTATGCAGGACTTGTGACTCAAAACTCCAGGTTCATTGGAACCAGGGTTGGGTGACCTCCACCCACGTTCCTCCACGTTTCCGGCACTTTAGCAGTCACACCCACAAGCCACTTCTGGCTAGTGCCAGAAAATCTCATCAACGGCCACCATCCAGAGACCCATTGTCGTCCTCTCTTGGAAAAAAACATAAAATGACACTGCCATAACCATGCTGCCTGACCCTGTACCAGGCTTTTTTCATTCAGGGCACCCCAGAGGGGGGTGGGTGAGGCCCCTCCCCGCCCCAAGGGACCCAGTCCCAGCAGCCAAAACTTTCCAGAACTCAACTGCCGCCATGCTCATGGCCATTCTCCATATGCTCAGGCTGAGCCTCACCCATGGGTAAAGCTATACCTGGACATCTCATAACTCACACCACTCACACTCCAACAATATTACACCACATTTGATGGGGTTTAAAGTAGAAGGTAACCAATCTTAGAGAGAAATATATTTTTACATACACACACACACACACACACACACACACACAAGGCTCAACCCTTAACAGCATATTAGTAATCTCTTATTGAAGGGTGTAATGGCCCCTGGGCAAAATACAATAATCTTCACACACTCTCCTCTAAAGAAAGTTTTTTGCAGAACTTTCAGTGGTTTATTCATAACAATCAATCACTTGTATCACTTGTCATCCCATTGATCTACAACTTGCTTGAGCAGGTGCCAGTAACATCTCCATTTGTCCCTGTTGGATGCTAGTGTAGCCCAATAGTATCTGCTCACTCCAGGAACACGAAGAGCCTCAAACTGTTTGTTCAGGGTTTTGATGAAGAAGTCTGACCATCTCGTAGGTGGGCGGCCATGTATCCTTTTGACATCACATGGAATCCAGTCCGTAATAGCTCTAGTCCAGCAGTCATCTCTAAATCAAATTACGTGTCCAGCCCATCTGATATTCAACGCCTTTGCAAACAAGACAGCGTCCCTGAATCTTGATCATCGACGGAGGTTGGAAGTCCAGATTCTTTCTCTCACTTGAGAGAAATGTGATATTCCGAGGTCCCAAGTTCTGGAGTTCTCTTCTTAAACTTTGAAGCCCTTTCTCCCCTCTCTTTGAAGTAGAATTTTGCACGAAGGAGATGGTGGTTCGATCCTATTTGGAATTTTGGGACAATAGTGACACTAGTCAGGCAAAACCATCGATTGAATATGATGTGATCAGTTTCATTGTGGAACTGTCCACCAGGAGACTCCCATGTCCAACGTTTAGATTCGGCCTTCTGGAATTGTGAATTACCATGGATGGTCTTGGTCGACATGATGAACTCAGACAGTCTCTCACCCTGTTCGTTCCATTCTAGGCCATGGGTCCCGATGTGCAGTTCTTCGGCTAACCTTCTCGGTCCTATCTTGGCATTAAAATCACCAACAATGATCTTGTAGAAGATGTGGTCTTCTTTATAGAACTTCTCCAGCTCCATGTAGAATTTGTCAACTTCTTCCTCATCATAGTTGGATGTTGGTGGGTAGACAATGAAGATAGAAACTGCTGGCAGTGAGCCACACCGATTCAAGCATAATTGTCTGATTTGGGATTTTAGGCATTTGAATGAATCAATGCTCATGGCCAAGTTTGTGTTGACAAGAACACCTACACAACTGACGCCTCTATTGTCGCATGTTCCAAGGAACAGTTCTTCTCCAGTGTCAAAAATGGCATGATGTGATCGATTCCTTCTCGTCTCTGTCAGACCAATGATGTTGTACTTGATCTTCTGCGCTCACACCATCAAGTCCTTGATGGATGCTTCCGATGCCAGTGTACGTGCGTCGAAAGTACAGACAGTAATTTTAGTCCTTCTTTGTTTTGGTTGCCTAGTTTGGCCCTGAGATTTTATCAGCTTCTCCTTGCTCATTCTTCTTAATGCTGCCATATTGGGGTCTCTTTCAGGGCCAGGGGAATGAGGCCATGGGTAGCTTTCAAGGCCCTGCCGTGCAGGAGGGATACTCTCAGTAGCTTGCCGGGCTCTCTGAAAAGGATGGAGGCTTTTAGGGCGGCCTCTAATCGCCCTTACAGGTGTTCCTATGGTTCATACCATATTTGAACCCCATTAAATATGGAGTGGTAATAACAAACAATACAAAAAATCATTTTGGTTCTGCTTTGGGGCAGGGGTTGGGGTTTGGGATGAAGACAACCAAAAGATGGTGATAGGAAAATGTAATTGTGGTGGGACTAGTTTTTGAATATTAAATGTAATCAAATATTGTGAACTGCTTTATAAAAATAAAGTAAAATTCACATTAAAAAAAGAAAGTAAACATGCTACAAAATTTGAAAGCAATTAAACATTTTTTCTAAAATCTTCCAAAAGAGCCTCTTGACTTCCTAATCAACCAGTTATGATCAATTTTTTGAACATCTCCCACCTTTCCCAGCATCACCAATATGACACTGCAGAATTTCAAATACTTTAAGAGTCACTCCAGTGGCACAGACTATGGATATAAAGAATAAATAAAACCACTCAACTAAGAACTCAGTGTCAAGAAAACATCCTTGCCCTTGCATTACAACTAAAGTGGAAACTAATCAGAGCATTGGGTTAAGGCGTTGCTCAAATGGCTAGAGTACATGCTTTGCATGCCAAAGACCTGGCTTGGTCACCAGCACTGCATGGACCCCTCCTAAGCACTAAGCGTGAGGTAATCCCAGCAGTGCTTGGTGTAGCTCGAAAACAAAAGTTAAAAGTCAAGACAAGAGAGACAGTTCAGAGGTTAATGTGCTTGCCTTTCATGTGGCTGACCCCAGTATGATCCCCAGCACTACATATGGTCACCTGAGTATGCCAGGAGTGATCCCTGAGCATAGAGCCAGGAGTAAGCCCTGAATGCCACCTGATGTGGTCTATCTCCCCCCAAAATGAAGAAACAAAAGAACAAAAAAATCAGTGTTTTCCATAATATAAGAGTCTTGTGAGTGGGCATAAAGTGAGAACAATAAAGTACTATGTTATATAATAAAATATATTTTAGGCATACTTATATGTAAGTGAATAAACATAACAAAACTTTAAAAATTGTATTTTCATTATAGAAATAAAGTTTATATCTTAAAAGTTTGATGATTCTTACTCTAGCTACACCACACCATTGATCTTTGTCCAGCACTAATTTCAACTATCTTACATATATTAATTCATTATATCCTCAAAAGAACTCATTATTAAAGCCAGAGAGATAGCACAGAGGGTAAGGCACTTTCCTTGTATACAACCAACACAGGTTCAATCCCCAGCACCACATATGATCCCAAAAGCCTACCAAATTGTGATCCTTGAGCAGAGAGTCAGGAACAAATGCTAAGGACCACTGAGTGTGCCTCCCCCCTCCAAGAATCAAAAACAATCAAGTGAGCAAAAAACAAGAAGTGAACAAAACAATCAAGTGAACAAAAAAACAAGAAACCCAAAAAAGATCACTATCAAGCATGCATGATGAAAAAACTTGAGCAAACACAGAAAGGTTTGAGAACATACTACAGAAGGTAGGAGATCAGGTGAAACCCTAGACTCAGATTCTGGAGATCTTGTTCTTAATCACCAACACCTGTCTCCTTCTGGAAGTCACGGGCATGTAAACCCAGCTGGAAAGTACATAGGATACTACTCACAACTTCTATGGTGACAGAATACGGTGTTCTCGAAACGAAGACAAAGCCAAGCTTACTGGCTCCTTTCACTAAAGCAGCTTCATCTGTCAATAAAATATCCATGTTAATGGATTTAGAGAAAATGCATGAATCAATAATTTCATACTGAGTTCCAATCTCTGGCTACGATTCCTCCATCCCTCTCAGAGAGCCTGGCAAGCTACCGAGAGTAACTTGCCCACACGGTAAAGCCTGGCAAGCTCTTCATGGCTTATTCTATATGTCAAACACAGTCACAATGGAGACGTTACTGGGCCCGCTAGAGCAAATCAATGAGCAACGGGAAGACAGTGCTACAGCGCTTCTCCCCAAAGCCTTTGGAGGTGTGTGCCTTTCTGGAGAGGCTTGTGTTTCCTGATAAAATATAGTCATTAAAAAAAACGAACTTGACCTTTTCATCTGAATCCAGTTATGTGTGTCCCTAGGCACCAGATAATGTTCAAGAAAGAAAATTTGGCTAAAGAAGGGCTTTTTCAGTGAAGCTTAGATAAATTCATCAGTTTCTATGTGAAATTCCTTCATAGTAATCATTATGACATTGAATATTCTCCAAGCCATTTGGCAGCATCTTTGTAAAATGTGCAGGGCCTTAAGCTCACTCCTGCCTTATCACTGATTGTATTGTAACCCAACATGCTGCCGAAACTGGCTCCTGAAACCTCCCACCAGCATTTTACAGCAATGTTTAGAACAGGGAGAAGGATCCTTGGAGCTGAAGGAGCTGCATTGTCCCATGAATGCCTTTAGTTAAAACTCAAGGAAAGGCGAGATGTAGGAATAGTCCAGGGATTAGTGCTGGCATCACTCCTGCAAGCTCTTTCCTGCTAGGTGCTCATCCTGCATCCAACACCTACCTGGGGAAGAAGCATGATAGGTTATATTGTCTCCATCTTTCTCAGGAATTACTGTGTGGCATACACTTAACAAGGTGAGGAATTCCTTTATATATTCACTTGTAGGCTATAAAACAAAAGGCACAGAATAAATTAGTTTTTTTCAGAACTAGTGGCATGACTTATGAGTAACCTCTAATTCATACCAACTGAAACGTCACTTCAGTTATATGCAGTTGTCAATTGTCAGCTAACTGCCACCTTATTATTCTAAATGTCCTGTGGCATGATGACTAAGACAAGAATGGGACAAGAGACTGACTGGGGAGACCACTAAGAGTAAAACAACCTGGGATCCCTTGGAGCTTCTATTCTCACTGGATAAATAGAGTTTCTCAAATTGGGTTGTGACATAGAATGGAGGGTAAGCATTGTAGGAGGGTGGTTAAGAAAAAAAATCAAGGAAATGATTTTTATGTAAGATCTATCAGGTAAGGCTGATAGTTGACAAGTGATGATGTCACTTATGAGATGAAAAGAAGACAAAAACCCCAAGGCAAGAACAAGAGTCCAGTGTGCTAAAAGCATCAGGGCAAATCTGATTTTAGCAACGTGAAGTAGGGGAACAATGCTACAGGAAGCAGTTGAAGTGAAGACCACAGTAAAGAGTTTGGGCCTTATCTTAAGCTTTAATTTTCCTTGGAAATTCTTTTTATGCAAAGGAAGCATATGTACAGATTTATGTTTTAAATGATTCTTTTTAGTTTTACAATAAATATTTCAAATAAAAGACCGGGGAGAGTGGCTCCATTGTACAGTTCATTTCTTGTATGCATAAAACCCTGAGTCCATCCCTGGGTGTCACAGGGTATGCGCTGGGCAAACTGCAACCAAATGTGTAATCCACAATGACAACAACAAAGAAAAAGCAGGTGGTGAAAAAGATTTCAAATCAAATTGATCAATATCTATCTTAAAATAGATAAAGATATTGGTAATATGTAATAGGACAAAATAGTTTTAAAGCAGGTAGAGACTATCTTACACTGAGTACTACACAGTAAAGCATCTTACATAATGTCTGAATCTATTCAGAATTCAAAACTCAGTTTTCAGTTTATTTGGGCATAAAATCCCTTGATTACAACCTTAACATTAACAAAAACTCCATACCTTCTTTTCTAGGCTTATTTTAGGGGAAAGATATATAGATATAGATATAGATATAGATATAAACAGATAGATAATGTCCAAAACATATTTATGTTTTAAAGTTATATTGCATTATCTTATTGACTTAAAATGTACATTGCACATATACATACATGGTTACTCTCAAAGTTTTCCAACAATGTTGGGTCATTAAACTCAGAGAATTCTTTAGTGTCAGTAGGTGAATAACTAAAAAAGACCAGAAAATTCATGTTAACAGTAAGTTTTTGAAGACACTAGTCAGAAATCAAAAGGCCAAACATAACACATGCCTCTTATGCTTCCAATAAGTCAAATTTGAAAAAGTTGAAAATTGCAAGTTTTATTAAATTATGTGCTTCAAGTTTGCAATACAGCGTTAGGAAACACATAAAAATGTATGTTGAAAACTATGGATTCAAGGAGTTTGATATGGAGTAAGAAAAAAAAAGTAAATTAAAGTCTAGGTTCTGTGTTCTCTGAATTCCATATGGCCAAGAACTGCCCAAAGGAGTTTCTTGGGAAATATCACTGGTAGATTACGATTCATTCCTGCTCCAATACTAATTTTAAAAAATGTACATGCAGGGAAATAGGAAGAAAAAAGAAAAGAAGGTCACTTAGTTACCTTAGGTCTTGTAAGTCAATATCATCTAGGTATGGCCGATTTCTAAGGGGAAATGGGGGAGGAAATATAATAATTATAAGAATACAAATAGAAAACTCCTTTGGAATTCTAATTCTGAGGTTAATATGAAAAGTACATATGTAAACCATATTTTTGTACAATAATGTTTCATACTGGTTATGTTAGTTTCTACTTTATTCATATATAACTATAAGCTTTCAGGTTTTTTTGCACAAATAAAGTCCAATTAATTTTATTAAGAAAAAGATGGGGGCTCAGTCAGGGTGAGGGGAATGAGGCCCATTATTATTACTGGTTTTAGCATATCAAATACGTAATGGGTAGCTTGCCAGGCTCTGCCGTGAGGGCAGGATACTCTCAGTAGCTTGCCAGACTCTCCGAGAGGAACAGAGGCTTTTAGGGCAACCTCTAATCGCCCTTGCAGGTGCTCCGTCTACCAAATGCAAGCATGTTGTAACGAACTGCAGCACCTGTTGGTTCACTCTTTGTAGGTTGGCACCATTGCCACCCCCCGCCATGATGAGGTGGTAAACCATATACGGCAGCTTAAAGAAAAATGAGCAAGGAGAGGCTGATAAAATCTCAGGGCCAAACTAGGCTGCGAAAACAAAGAAGGACTAAAATGACTCTCTGTACTTTCAACCCACATACACTGGCTTCAGAAGTGAGGACTTGATGGTGCAAGCATAGAAGATCAAGCACAACATCATTGGTCTGACAGAGATGAGAAGGCATCAATCACATCACACCACTTTCGACTCTGAAGAAGAATTATTCCTTGGAACATGCAACAGTAGAGGCATCAGTGGTGTTGGTGTCCTCGTAAACACGAACTTGGCCATGAGCATTCGAATTCATTCGAATACCTAACAACCTAACTCGGATGTTGATGCTTGAATAGATGTGACTCATTGCCGGCAGTTTCTATCTTTGTTGTCTACGCACCAACATCCAACTATGATGAAGAAGAAACTGAGAAGTTCTACATGGAGCTGGAGAAGTTCTATAAAGAAGACCACACCTTCTACAAGATCATTGTTGGTGTTTTTAATGCCAAGATAGGACTAAGAAGTTCACCCAAAGAACTGCACATCGGGACCCATGGAACGAACAGGGTGAGAGACTGTCTGAGTTCATCATGTCAACCAAGACCATCTATGATAACTAACAGTTCCAGAAGACTGAATCTTAACGTTGGACATGGGAGTCTCCTGGTGGACAGTTCCACAATGAAATTGATCACATCATATACAATCGATGGTTTTGCCTGACCAATGTTGCTGTTATCCCAAAATTTCAAACAGGATCGGACCACCATCTCCTTCGTGTAAAACTCTACTTCACAGAGTGGGGAGAAAGGGCTGCAAAGTTTAAGAAGAGAACTCCCAGAACGACCAGCAACTGGGAGCTCATTGGCACTATTGCAGCAACATGGGAAGATGCCGTTATTGACAACATCGACAAGGAATACGATTGACTGGTTCAGTGCCTCCATGACTGTTCGAGGAATTCTGAGTGGGAAAGTCACAAACAGAGGCCTATCTTCAGAAACTCTCGAGCTCATTCGCCAACATGGTTTGGCACAAGCTTTAGGCAATCACAAGCTAACATCCAATCTCGCAAAGCTGTGCAGAGAAGCAATAAAGGAAGGCTTCAAAGAGAAATGAACAGCAGTGCTGGCTGACACAGCAAAAGCTGGTAAAAGTATTTGCAATACTCACCTGTCCTTCACCAAACTATAAAACCAAGATGACTGCCGTCTGATCTCCTGATGGATCTGTCACATCTTCCAGAAGGGTAATGGAATATTATCCACGACTTCTACTCGGATCTCTTCGATAGCCACATTCACCAAATTCCGCAGGATGGGTATGTCATTCTCAAGTTCTCCCTTCCAAAATCCAACTCTCCAGTTCGTCGGTAAAGAAGCATACAGCACCGGGTCCAGACAAGGTCAGACCCAAACACCTGAAGAATCTGCCACCATTACTCATCAATACACTGGCACAGCTCTTCACATGCAACCTGTCTGAATGCAAGGTTCCATCCCAATGTAAAGTCAGCAGAACCATTCTGTTATACAAGAAGGGAGACATCCATGACATCGGCTACTATAACCCAATCTACCTGTTGTCCATCGTTTAGAAGTTGTTCACTCGAGTCATACTGAATAGAATAGGCAGAATACTAGACGAAGGACAACCATGCGAGCAAGCTGCGTTCTAAAAAGGTTTCAGCACAATCGACCAAATCCACACAATGACCAAGCTCATTGAGGTTTCACAAGAGTTCAAAATGCCACTCTGTCTAATGTTCATTGATTCAGTTGAGACTAAAGCAGTCATCAAAGCCCTAGCTGAAAAGGGCGTTGAAACTCAGTACATCAGGATCCTCCGCGAGCTGTATTATGTGTATTATGGATTCACCACCAGGATCTCACCATTCTACAAAGAAGTGATCATAGATATAAAGAGAGGGGTTTGGCAGGGTGACGCCATTTTACCAAAACTCTTCAGTGCCACCCTCGAGAACGTCATGCAACAACTGGAATGGGAAGAAATGGGAGTGAAGATAGATGTCAGCAATTACACCACCTCTGCTTTGCTGATGACATCATTCTAATAACACCAAACACCAGCCAAGCAGCACGAATTCTGGCCGGCATCGACCATGAGTGTGGAAAAGTTGAACTGCAGCTGAATCTCATGAAGACAATGTTCATGAGAAACAGACTAGTCCCTGACATTCCATTTACTTTCAACAGAATGAACATCTCCGAATGCAGCAGCTATGTGTACCTGGGTCAAGACCTCAACATGAGGAATGACTTGGCGCCAGAACTGTGCAGGAGAAAGAGAGCCACATCAAAAGCCTTCAAGAGCATCGAAGAAGTTGTTAAGAGGACGAAGAACCTCTGGCTCTTGGCATATTTCTTCTACTCCACCATTCTTCCTGTATTAACATATGCTCAAAGACCTGGTTCCCATGAAAACAGGATGAGAATGCTATTTGGGTCACCCAAAGAGGAATCGAAAGAGCTATGCTTGGAGTATCACGCTTCATTCAAGTGAGAGAAGGAATCTGGAGTTCCGACTTCCATCAACTATCGAAGGTCAGGGATGCTGCCTCATTTGCCAAGGTGTCAAAAATCAGATAGGCCAGACACATAATGCGATTTTGAGATGACCGCTGGACGACAGCTATTACTGACTGGATTCCTCAGGATGTCAAAAGAACACCTGGATTCCCACCTACAAGATGGTCAGACTTCTTCGTTAAGATCTTGAACAAATGGTTTGAGGCTCTTTGTGTTCCTGGAGCGGGCAGATGTCATTGGGCTACACTAGCATGCGACAGAAATGAATGGAGATGTTACTGCGCCTGCTCGAGCAAATCGATGAACAACGGCATGACAAGTGATTAACATAGTGATTACCATAGTAATCACTATAAACATAATGATTACAAGAAAAAGATGAGAAAGTTCAAAAACATTACAATAAAAGCAACTTACCCATAAATTATACCTGCAATGGTACACTTCTTAAACATCATAATATTGCAAGTGAGTGTTCCTGTTTTATCAGAAAATAAGTATTTTACCTAAACATAGAAAAAATGAAATAATTATTATGAGTATTTCCTTGCACGCAGCCAACATGGCCGAACCGAGTTCGATTCCTCCGCCCCTCTCGGAGAGCCCGGCAAGCTACCGAGAGTATTCGATATGCCAGACACAGTAACAACAAAGTCTCCAATGGAGACGTTACTGGGCCCGCTCGAGCAAATCGACGATCAACGGGAGGGCCTTTACTTTTTACTTTTACAATGCCTGATTGTTTTCTTTTTCTATGGAATGGTCACTCCCAGAAGTGCTCAGGGCACCATGTCCTGCTGTATCTAAGCCAGGAGTAAGCCCTGAGCATAGCTGGGTGTGGCCCCAAAACAAAATAAAGCAAAAACTTATCATTTTAAATGTCAGATCACTGTAACGAGTCTACCAACCACCTCCAGAACCCTGTCATCACACCAAACTTAATATTCATATTAATTCAACAACTTCCATTTCCCTCACCCCCAAATAGTCTACTTTCTATCTCTGTAATCAGGTATCTCTCATATTACATATTTGTTTTTTTGTCTCTGGTACATTATTTTACATTACACAATATCTCCAAGTTTCATTCATGTATTAAAATATATTTCATGTTTTTAAATAAAAAATACTATTGTATGCATATACTCATTCTATTAATCCATTCATCCATTGAAGGACTTTTGACTTGTTTCCACCTTTTGGTTATTGTGAACAATGGCTGCTAAGACCCATGATGTACTTTTAATTCTTTTATGTACTTTCTTTTGTGTACATTTAAAAATGATACAAGTGTGTTAACTCTATATACAACGTTTTGAACAATCCCCATACTGTTTTCCACAAGGGAAGCACCAGTCTGCATTTTCACAGTTCTCCACATCCTCATGAGACACTTGTTTACTGTATGTTTATTTCAATAATATCCATTGTAGTCTTTTAAAACAATAATTCGTTTTGGCATTGATTTTCCTTTCCCTGAGTATGAGTGATAATAACATTTTTTCATGTGTCTATTAGTTATTAGTTCTCTCCTTTGAAGAAATGTCTATTCAAGCCTTTTACCCATTTTACACATTTTATTTCTTCTCTTTCCTTTCATGGTTGTGGTTGTTGGAATTGTGACAGGACCCTACACACAGGCTTGCCCCAGGCTAGCAACTGCTCTCCATAGTTAATTTGCTACACACTCTGGTCGCAGTGCTTGCTGGGGTTCAGAGTGGTGTTAACACACTTGCACTAAGACAACTGCACTCCTGGGCCATGGTGCTCAGATCTTTTCGCTCTAGGCCTGCTAGGAACTGCACACTTTCCCTGAGGTCCTCCTCACACATGCCAGCCAGTTTGCCAAAGTCCATGTGTTCTGCTGCAGCAACCCAAGGTGCCAAGTAGCAGAGCCTCCGAGGAGAGCGATCTGCACTGGGTGACCCCAGAGACTGAAATTTAGCACCTCATGGGGCTGGAGTGATAGTACAGCAGGTAGGACGTGTTTTCCTTCCATGCAGCCAACCAGGATTCAATCTCCAGCATCCCATATGATCCCCCAAGCACTGACAGGAGTAATTCCTGAGTGCAGAGCCAGTAGTAACCCCTGTGCATTGCCAGGTGTGACAAAGAGTAAAAAAAAAAAAAAAAAAAAAAACTTGAAGAACTTTAGAACCTCACACTTGCAAAGCCCAGAGCCATAATAGTGCCCTCATTTTCTATTTTTAGGTTAGTGTTGAGTTGTAGGAATCCTTCCTATATTCTGGATTTAATCTCCTCGTTGTGGGGCTGGAACAATAGATGAAACCTGAGTGAGTCTTGCACGCAGCTCACCTGGGTTTGATCTCTTGCATCCCATATGGTCTCATATGGTCACCTGACACTTGCCAACAGTGATTTCTGAGTATAGAACCATGAGTAAGCTCTGATCAGTGCAAAGTGTGGCCCCAAAACCAAATTAATTAATTAAACTCTTCATTTTTCTGGTTTAAAATTTAAGGAGTTCTGTTCTGAATTTTATATGGTATCGTCACAAACAGTAAATATTCAAAGCTTGAGTAAGAAAGTCAATTCTATTCAACAATTTTATTAAAGGGTGTCAATTTACTAGGCAAGGTGAGTGAAGTAATCTTTTTCCAACTTTCCATAGAAAATGTACATTCTAGATACATTTTCCTCCACCCTTGAGAGTCGCCCTCACCTCAACCTTCAACGTGAATGAGGGTTTTCATCTCTGGAGATGCCCATGCGCCCATGTTCTCCCTTAACACATGTGTGTGTGTCTGTCTGTCTGTCTGTCTGTCTCTCTCTCTCTCTCTCCCCCTCCAATATTTCTCTAAACAAATCTTTACTTCACACACACACACACACACAAAACAAAACACTGTAAAGTTTTGATAAAAAGTCTGATGTTATGAGCAGAGATGATCTGATTTCCATCCCTCATCTTTAATTGCAAAATAGAAAGGTCTGAAAGTGGTTCTCTTTTACCCAGAAGCTGAAAAGGGACTGAGGCGGGGCAGCCAACTGCTTGTTCTGAAGTCAAGCAGAGAGAGAGAGAAGAGCTGTTATACCCGTCCCCAGTAAAGCCAGGTTCTTTGAATGCTTGTGGGGGAGGGTGTCAGGTGAGGCAGAAATAACAGCAAAAAAAAAAAACTTTTGAAATAAATCTTGCTCTTGATGGAGCAATAGTATAGAGAGTAGGTCATTTGCCTTGCACATGGTTGACCAGGGTTCAATCCTTGGCATCCCCATATGGTTCCCTGAGCTCTGCCAGGACTGATCCCTGAGCACAGAGCTAGCAATAGCTCTGAGTATCACCAGGTATGGTCCAAAAGAAAATAAAACCTAAATAAATATCTGATGAGAAAATACTATTCAAATGATACTAGACAATGTGATGAGAAATCATAGAAATATATATTCTTCAACTCCTGGTTAGAATCATTAACATTAATTAAAACTGTTCTTCTCTAGGTGCTGAATACCTTGTATATATACATTTTCTTATTTAATTTTCATAAAAACCTTTTAAGGTTGATGATATGATATTCATGTTACAGATGAGAAAAATCAAGGCTTGGAAAGTTTACTATTATCTAGTAAAAAAATTAAAGTCAATAAGGGGGAAATAACAGTCTTTCTTATTTTATGTATTGTTTCAGCTTTATTGAGTATCATTGACAAATAATTATTGATGAGCTATGAAAGTTTTTAAGTCTGTAACTGTACTTCACGGTGATTCATTTAAAAATTTTTAAAAAATTTAATACTGATATGCTAAATAACAATGATAGTTGGAAATTATCGCTTTGGACAAAGACTGAGTGCTGAAAAGAGGTAAAGGGACAAACCTTTCAGTACCTGTATTGCAGACCATAATGCCCAAAAGGAAAGAGAGCAAGAATGAGAGAGAGTAAAAGTGTCTGCCATGGAGGCAGGCTCTTGGGGCCTAGCAGGAGGTTAAACTGGTGGAAAATGTACACTGGTGTGCAAATGTACACCCAAAGGGCGGGTGTTGGAACATTAGTCGTCGATTTGCTCGAGCGGGCGCCAGTAACGTCTCCATTTGTCCCTGTCGCGTGCTAGTATAGCCCAATGGCATCTGTTCGCTCCGGAACATGAAGGGCCTCAAACCGATCGTTCATGATCTTGGCAAAGAAGTCTGACCATCTGGTAGGTGGGCGGCCACGCGGTCTTTTGACATCCCGTGGAATCCAGTCGGTAACAGCTCTAGTCCAGCGGTCGTCTTTAAATCTCATTACGTGACCAGCCCATCTGATTTTCGACACCTTGGCAAATGAGACAGCATCCCTGATTCTTGATCGTCGACGGATGTCAGAACTCCGGATTCTTTCTCTCATTTGAGTGAAACGTGATATTCCAAGCATAGCTCTTTCTATTCTTCTTTGGGAGACCTGAATAGCGTTCTCATCTTGTTTGCGTAGGGCCCAGGTCTCTGAGGCATATGTTAATGCAGGAAGAACAGTTGAATCAAAGAGATGTGCCCGGAGCCGGAGGTTCTTCGTCCTCTTAGCTATTTCTTCGACGTTCTTGAAGGCGTTCCAAGCCACTCTCTTCCTCCTGCGCAGCTTGGGTGCCAGGTCATTTGTCATGTTGACTTCTCGACCTAGGTACACATAGCTGTTGCATTCGGAGATGGTTGTTCCATTGAGAGCGAATGGGGCGTCAGGAACGAGGCTGTTTCTCACAAACATTGTCTTCGTAAGATTCAGCTGTAGTCCTACCTTTCCACACTCACGGTCAAAGTCGGCCAGCATTTGTGCCGCTTGGCTGATGTTTGGTGTTATTAAAACAATGTCATCAGCAAAGCGGAGGTGGTGTAGTTGCCGACCATCTATCTTCACTCCCATTCCTTCCCATTCCAGTCGTCGCATGATGTTCTCGAGGGTGGCACTGAAGAGTTTCGGTGAAATGGTATCACCCTGCCGCACCCCTCTCTTGACATCAACGATCACTTCTTTGTAGAATGGTGAGAGCCTGGTAGTGAATCCGCAATACAGCTCACGGAGGATCCTGATGTATTGGGCTTGAATGCCCTGAGTGCCCTCTTCAGTGCCACCCTCGAGAACATCATGCTGAACGCTATAAATGAAGAATATCTAATGGAGACCCACAAAACTTCAGATACTTAGAAAGCTGGATAGATAGGACTTTCCAGTATGACCTTAAAATAGACCATGAGAGGATAGAAAAATGGCCCAGCTTCAGGACTGATCTTGGAGAGACATCTGCAGCTGAGTTATTCCAGATAGACTTGACCGCCATGAGTCTCTGCCTTGCCAAAGGCCCAGTGCTCCACTGCACACATGTGCTGCCAAAGGAATGGCCCAGCTCCACAACTGATCTCAAAGACACCAGCAGCTAATCGTCCCAGCTCCAAAGCCCCTGAAGTGTGCAGCCACATATGCACGCAGCACCTCCAAACTTCATGGAGCTGACAACCCAGTAGAAGCACAGAAAATAGATGGGAAAACTGAATAGAAGCCCACTAAGCTCAGTGAGTGAAAACAATAACACAGAAGGCTCAACTCACATCTGACAGCTCAGTATATCTACACATCATAACTTTAACAAGACCATTATGAGATATATGTTGTAAAAAGGCAATATAAAGTTAATTATTTGTTCCTGCTAAGGGAGCAGGCTTGGAGGGTGAATGGGAAACTGGGGATGATAGTGGAGGGAAGGGTACATTGGTGGTGGGACTGATTTGGAATATTGAATAACTGAAACAACAGTATTATGAACAACTTTGTAAATCACAGTGTTTAAATTTTTTAGAAAGTAATGCATTTTTTTTAAATTGAAAAAAGAAACTATATTACTGCCCTTTTCAGACTATGGGTAAATGCATGGATTTGGTGGATGTGGAAATTTGTAGCAACCTCTCTTTGCTTCTCTATGGGTCATCTGCCTTAGGGAACCAGGACATGGCCACCACCAGCAGGTTCCAGGTTTCCTGAGAGAAAGCCAAGAACCCTAGAGTTAACACCATCTTTTTATACCTGCCACTAATTTTTTATTCTTTCATAAACACATAATAATCTGTAATGCATCTATTATATTTGAAATTCTTACTGCAATGCCATAACTCTTTAAGCAAATTCATTCTTCTAAAGCTACCCACAGGAGTCATATGAACTGTAGCCCATGCTGGGTATGGCATCTGAGCTTTGTACAAACTCTTCTCAATCCACCTGCATCAAATGTCCAGTCCCTGAAGGGCCACTCACCTGCCCAAGCTCTTCATTAAGGCTGGATGTTCTGGCCATAGCATAGACATCATTTTCTTTATAATACATATCTTCATCCTGCAAGAAATGAACAAAGTATTCAAACTACAGTCAGAACTAGGTTAAAAATTTCTCCAGGAAGACTATATTGCCAAATTACTTTCCATGCATCTCACATGTAGAAGAATTCACAGTGGAGAGTCTAGTATAGTTAGATTTTAACTGGCACAGAAAAAAATTATCAATAAATAGAGAGATTGATATATTTCTTCCATATTTTTTCCTTGAATAGATTAAAGGTCAAAACGATAATACAGTGGGTAAGGTGGCCTTCATGTGGCCGACCTGGGTTCAATCCCCAGACCCAGATCTCAAGCCTGAGGCAGAGCCAGGAGTAACCCAAAATACCACTGAGTGTGTCCTCAGCAAAATAAACAAATAAATGAAATAATAAGTAAATAATAAAAATAATTAAAAGAAGTTAAATATCATACACAAAAAATATCAATGTGCTACCCCTTGGAATTAATATACTTGGCTTTCAAACCCTGATAGTTTTAATGGCACAGGTCATTTCTTTGGGTCAACAATACCCAAGTCAGAGTGACATAGTCCAGAACCAATTATGGGTTCTGACCCCAAAGACACCATTATATTCCTCTGTGGAATTTTTGTAAACATATTAAAAATGATCACACTTCCTAACACAAGAGGTTGGACTAGAAGATTAGAGAGTTATGTTCCATTCTAGCACTATTTCTTTAGCCCATCAATACATTAGCAAATTGAAAGTGTCTTGAAAGTGTCTCAGCTACAACTATAGCATAGAACAGTAGCACAAATCTCTCAGCACTAATGTAAAAAATTATTGAGAACACATTTGAAAGTATTTTTTCTCATTTTGTGACTTTAAATTATGGCAATTCAAAAGGTCAGAGCAATAGTATAGTGAGTTGTGCATTTGCCTTGCACACAGCTGACCTGGGTTCAATTCCTGTACCCCAAGAATCACCAGTAGTAATTCCCAAGTGCAAATCCAGGAGTAACCCTAGAGCCTCACTAAGTATAGCCCCAAAACAAAACAAACCCAAAAAAATTTATGGTGATTCATTGGCATATTAAGAAAATAGTTTTAAAGGGGCATCTAGCGAAAATTTTATTTCAAAGAAAGGCAATACAAAAAAATTGCAACCTCTTGTACCTAATGGAATTCTGTGTATAAGAAAAGATGAAATTTTGCAGTTTGCTGCAACATGAACGCAACTGAAATGAATCATGTTAAGCTAAGTAAGTCAGGGGGAGAAGGATAAAGGCCAGATCATCTTACTCATTTATGGAATACAGAAAGAGAAAACAAGGGAATAGACAGCATTGATCACTGACAAACTCTTGGGCTTGGATTACAAAACTCGGATTAATAAGCAGTGGGAAGAGAGGTGTGGAAAAATGAAGATAAAACTAAGGAGGGCAGAGGGGACAAAGGTGAATGGTCTTGAGGCTTGGTTAGTGCAGGGGTACAGTAAATTTTTATAATACCATAAATGCTAACGGGTGGAGCGATAGCACAGCGGGTAGGGCGTTCGCCTTACACGCGGCCAACATGGCCGACCCGAGTTCGATTCCTCCGCCCCTCTCGGAGAGCCCGGCAAGCTACCGAGAGTATTCGATATGCCAGACACAGTAACAACAAAGTCTCCAATGGAGACGTTACTGGGCCTGCTCGAGCAAATCGACGATCAACGGGAGGGCCTTTACCTTTTTTTATAAATGCTAACACTATTTAAAACATGCCTAAACTATCCAATAAAAAGAAATTTTTAAAAAGGGGCTAGAAAGATAGAACAGAGGGCAGGACACTTGTCTTGCATGCGGCTGACCCTGTTCAATCCCTGGCACCACATACGGTCCCCCAAGCCTCACTAGGAGTGATCCCCGAATAGAGAGCCAGGAGTAAGTCATTAGCATAGCCATATATAGTCCCCCAAAAAGTAAAAAAGTGAAATAAACTAAAAGCCTTAAATTTTTAAAAAGAAAAAAATTAAAAATTATTTTTCTACTGCAATCCTTCATTTAAATTGGAAAAGTCATTAAATTTCAACATTATCAATGGTCACCAGATGGTGACCCAAAATTTTTCCTAAAATAATTATAGAGGGCACTGTTTTTGACATTTCTGGTCATGTCAAGATCAAAATATCTATTAGTGTGCTGAGATTTCTGTCTTAAATTTTATTTTTTTCTGTCTTAAATTTTAATAGATTAACTCTCTCAATATAATTGCTTTTAAACCACTATCTGTAAAATCTTTTTTACCTGCTAGAAAAAATAAAAAGCATACAACAAAATGGTGCCCGCCAAGGGAGAGTGAAAGTTCTAGGCACAGCTGAACCAGTGACCCCAGTGCTACACTCACCTGTCAAAGCAAACTGACCCTGGATCAGAAAGATAGCACAGTGGGTAGGGCGCTTACCTTGTGCCCAGCAAACTCAGGTTCAATCCCTGACATCCCAAATGGTCCCTCGAGGTCTGTCAGGAGTGACTCCTAAGAACAGAGTCAGGAGCAACCCCTGACAGATGTGGCCCAAAAGACAAAACAAAGCAAAAAAAAAAAAGACAGAACTCAAGAGAAAGCTTTTTGTTGTTTACATTTGTCTTATTTTAATACTTACCCAGTTTATAAACTGGGCCTGCATATATTTCACAGCTTCCAAAGTGACCAGTAGACTGATGGGGATGAGATTGTGGTACAAGATAATAAATACCAGTAAGTCAAATGCAAAGCCATGATTCTTGACGTCTGTTGAATAAAATCAGAGGAACCCTATCAGAGCTTCAGGTGACATACTTTTTCATCTTTGTATCAATCTATTTAAATTTCATGAAATTTTTCTATGGAATATATTACAAGTATAATTAAGTGGACATACATAAAAATGGTATTTAGATTAAGTGCCAACCATGTATTAGAGTGTATGGTACGCACAAGCTATAATAGGATAAAGACTGCTTTGCTATGGGAAGTGTAGTTCGGTTATCGGCACTGTATACCTCTCCTCCCACCCTGGCCTGCACCACCTGGAGCTACCACCAAGCACAGAGCTGGAAGTAGCACCCACCACACACACACACCACACACACACACACACACACACACACACACACACACACTCCACTTGGCACTCAAAATCAAATCAACAAAAAAGACACACTTCACTCTCTGCCTCAGGGTGCTTTGGAAGTAGACTTGGTAAGCAAGATAAAACCCGAATCACGCTGTAATATATGCATCAAAGGGCTGAACAGAGTGAAGCCACAGAAAAAGTGAAAGGCTCACGAGAAGGCTGCAGAAAAGGGAGGGAGCAAAGATTAGAAAGAAGTTTGTTCATAAACAAATGGGACTACATTAAACTAAGAACCTTCTGCATCTCAAAAGAAACAGTGACCAAAATAAAGAGAGAGCCCACGGAATGGAAAAGAATATTTACCCAATACCCATCTGATAAGGGATTAATATCCAGGATATACAAGCATTAGTAGAATTGTACAAGAAAAAACCTCCAACCCCATCCAAATATGGGGAGAAGAAATGAACAGAAGTATGAAGTATTTTAAGAAAGAAATACAGATGGGAGCTAGAGGAATAGCACAGCGGGTAGGGCATTTGCCTTGCACGTGGCTGACCCAGGTTCGATTCCCAGAATCCCATATGGTCCCCTGAGCACCGCCAGGAGTAATTCCTGAGTGCAGAACCAGGAGTAACCCCTGTGCATCATCAGGTGTGACCCAAAAAGCAAACAAAAAAGAAAAAAAAAAGAAAAATACAAATGTCAAAAAGGCATATAAAAAAATGCTCTACATCACTAATTATCAGGGAGATGTAAATCAAAACAACAATGAGACATCATCTCATACCACAGAGACTGGCACACATTCAAAAGAACAAAAGCAACCAGTGTTGGCGTGGATGTTGGGAGAAAGGAACACTCCTTCAACATTGGTAGGAATGACAACTGGTCCAAACTTTTTGGAAAGCAATATGGGCATTTCTTTAAAAATTAGAAATTGAGCTTCAATATGACTATGCAATACCACTTCTGAGAATATATCCTGAGCATGCAAAAAAAGCATAGTAGAAATAGCATTTGCACCTGTATATTCATTGCAGCACTGTTCACAATAGCCAGAATCTGGAAAAATCCCAAGTGCCTGAGAACAGATGACTGGTTAAAGAAACTTTGTACACATCCACAATAGAATACTATGCAGCTGTTGGGAAAAATTAAGTCACTAAATTTGCTTATAAGTAGATGGACATGGAGACTATCATGCTAAGTGAAATGAGTCAGAAAGAGAGGGGCAGACATAGAATGACTGCACTCATTTGTGGAATATGAAGCAACATAACAGGAGACTAACACCTAAGGACAGTAGAGATAAGTGCCAGGAGGATCACTCCATGGCTTGGAAGCCAGTCTCATGTCCTGGGGGAAAGGGCATCTGGGATAGAGAAGGGATCAGTAAGTCAATGATGGTTGGAGGGATCGCTCGGGATGGGAGATGTGTGCTGAAAGTAGATAAAGAACCAAACATGATAGCCTCTCAGATCTATATTGCTTACCATAATGCCCAAAAGTAGAGAGAGAATATGGGGGGAAATGTCTGCAATAGAGGCAAGGTGAGGGTTGGGAAGCGGGGGAATACTGGGGACATTGTTGGTGGAAAAATGTGCACTGTTGGAGGAACGGGTGTTTGATCATTGTATGACTGAAACTCAAACACGAAAGCTTTGTAACTGTATCTCATGGTGATTCGATTAAAAAAGTTTGTAAAATGTAGGAGACCAATGGGAAAAAATGAGAAGGGATACATTTTTCAAATTTTTATTAGTGAGACACCATGAGGTACAGTAGTAGACTTACAAAATTTGTGCTTATGTTTCAATTGTACAATTATCAAATACCCATCCTTCCACCAGTGCCCATTTCCCACCACCACGGGTCCCAGTATCCCTCCCGAATACATTTAAACTGGAAGTACAGCAGGCTTGAAGTCAAAGAGGGAACTAATGCAATCTTTAAAACTCAAGAAAAGAAGCTGAAAATAAAGTAAAAAAGAAAGCTAGTGATACTTTGTAAAGTTCAGTTATGTATTCTGTAAAGTTCAGTTATGTATTCATTCTTAAACAGGTATGTGTGTTTGAGACTAATTTTCCAATAATAATTCAACGCAATTTCACTGAAATTAACCTTGATATTTACATAGCTGAGTTATGGAAGGATGGTTATAACTAAAAAGAATTAACAAACAAACTTTTATTTTTTTTCAAATTTATTGCTAATAACCAGGTGGTTAAATATGTCTAGAAAGTAATTTTTTAATCATTTTTTATTAGTGAAACACCATGAGGTACAATTATAGACTTATAAATTTTTGTGCTTGGGTTTCAGTCATACAATGATCAAGTACCCATCCCTCCACCAGTGCCCATCCTCCCCCACCATGGGTCCTACCATCCCTCCCACCCCACATCCCCCGTCCCACCCTGCCGCTGTGGCAGGGCACTCCCCCTTATTCTCTCTCTCTTCTTTTGGGTACTGTGTTTTGCAAGAGCGGCACTGAGTGGCAATCATGTTTGGTCTATATACTACTTTTAGCATGTCTCTCCCACCCTGGGAGGGTCTTCACAACACCCTTTATTTGGTGCTCTCTTCTCTATCTGAGCTTCCTTTTCACCTAGAACGTGTGGCTGGCCTTCCATTCATGGAGCAAAATTCCTGGTACTAATCTCAGCCGTTCCTGGGTGTTAGTCTCCCGTTTTGTTGCTTTATGTTCCCCAGATGAATGCAACCTTTCTGTGTCTATCCCGCTCTTTCTGACTCATTTCGCTTAACATGATACTTTCCATGTAGTACCACTTGTATGTAAATTTCATAACTTCATCTTTTCTAACAGCTACATAGTACTCCATTGTGTAAATGTACCAAAGTTTCTTTAACCAGTCATCTGTTCTCTTGCACTCAGGTTTTTTCCAGAATCTGGCTATTGTAAAGAGTGCTGCAATGAACAAACAATTGCAGATGTCACTTCGACTATACCTTTTTGCCTCTCTGGGATATATTCCCAGGAGTGCTATAGCTGGGTCAAATGGGAGATCAAATTTTAATTTTTTGAGAATCGTCCATACTGTTTTCCAAAAGGGTTGGACCAGCCGGCATTCCCACCAGCAGTGAAGGAGGGTCCCTTTCTCACCACATCTGCGCCAGCACCTGTTCCTTTTGTTCTTGTGGATGTGGGCCAGTCTCTGTGGTGTGAAATGATATCTCATTGTTGTTTTGATCTGCATCTCTCTGATGATTAGTGATGTAGAGCATTTTCTCATGTGCCTTTTTGCCAACAAATAAACTTTTAAATAGTAATTTAAAGACACGGAAAATACAAAGAATATAATTTCTTTATGAATTAAAGTTGTATATTAATCTTTCTTAGAAGCAAGCATACTTGTAAGAGTAGCTACATCTATACTTCTAAATCCCATCAGTCTAAAAGCCAAGTTCATTTTACTATGACATCTCTTTGAACTCATATTGTCTTAAGTTTACTAATTTACCTTTATTGATTTATTGCTTGGAGGGGGTTGAGCCACACGTGGCAGGGTTCATTCAGGACTTACTCCTGAGTGTTCACTCAACAATCACTCCTGACATTGCTTGGGGGACCACATAGGATGCTCGGGTTAGCTGTGTGCAAGTCAAATACCCTATGTACTATCGCTCCAGCCCATACTCCTATTGCTCTTATACTTATAACATTACTTTGTATTATAATTATTTTAAGAAAATCAGAGGCATATATTATAACTATTTTATACAAAGAGAAGTGAAGACAAAATCTTTAGTTTTTGCAAAGTTTATTGATTACTGTAGGCTGGAGAGATAGCACAGTGGTAGGGTGTTCGCCTTACAAGCGGCCAACAAGGCCGACCCAGGTTCGATTCCTCCGCCCCTCTCGGAGAGCCCGGCAAGCTACCGAGAGTATTCGATATGCCAGACACAGTAACAACCAAGTCTCCAATGGAGACGTTACTGGGCCCGCTCGAGCAAATTGATTACTGAAAATGTTGTTATAACTTTAATAAGTCAATGTCTTTTCCTTTTGAACTAGATAACTTGGCAGATTTGCAGTAGTCCAGAAACAAATATGGGTTGCTATTCTAAACAATCCATTAACTTCTCTTTTTCTCAATCAATATGGGTTTTTTAGGAGCCATATCAGGTAATGCTCAGAGGTAATTCCTAGTTTTGCTCTCAGAAGTCACTCCTGAAAAGCTCAGGAGACCATATGAGATGCCAGAGATTGAATATAAGCCATCCACATGCAAAGCAAATGCCCTGTTGTACTGTCACTCTGGTCCCAGTCAAATTTTTAAATAATAGCGTTCATTATTTACAATAGTATGAATATTATTGATTCATGTTTGCAATGTTACTACACCACATTCACCACCAGACTACCAGTATTTTTCCACCACTATTTCTAGATTCCTTCTCACTAGTCTACTTTTTTGGTAGCCTAAATTCTGTTAACAAACTACTAATCTCCTCCATACTCTTCAGTCAACATATAACCTATCTCATATTCATAAACAAGGAATTGGATTGAAAAACTGTAGAGTTCTATTCTAACTCTGAAATTGTTTCAAAGCTTTGTTCCTAGGGGATGGAACAATTGTAAATCAGGTAGGATGCTTGCTTTGCACATGGATAGTCCAGGTTCAACCTCATGTGGTCCTCTGAGCCC